AAGTTTTCGGTCGGGGCCGGTGGCAGCGCGGCCCGCTGAAAACGCCGACGGCGGGAAGTCAGCAGACCGTTGCCCAGGCGCGGGGAACGCGTCGTGCTCATGGAGACTCCCTTAACAAACAAGCAAACGCCGTGAAGCCAGGTGGGCGAGTGATGCTGGCTTTGGGCAGTCCAGAGGGCGGCGACCCGTCCTGGGCGCTCGGGCCTGGGCGGGGTAATTAAGAGAAGTGCGATATAGATGATGTGGACAATGTGGCGGGGTTGTCCTGGCACTTCGCCCCAAACGCGCTTGGAATGGAGGTGGAGCCATCGTGATCTTGCCGGTGGCGGTTTCAAGTCAAGGTCTAGTTGCAGATGCCCAGCCGTTAGTTGCTCGACCAGTCGCAGTGAGATGGTCGGGGCGCATGGCCCATGGGACCTACGCCTGCGCTGGGGTGAGCTGGGTGCGAGGCTGCTGCCAGGGGCGACGTCATCCGCGGACGCAATCGCGCAGAATGTCGAGAACGCGCTATCGAGTTGCCTGAAAAATTAGACGACCCGTGCATCGAAGGGAGATTGGCAGCAGTTCGACTGAGGGCGGGGCCCGGCAGTTCTCAGCAGGGTAAGGATAGCGGGTGTCTCTTTATTTGATGGCCGGGTTCTGAAAGATGAGTTAGCCATTCGACTTGCCCCTGCAGACACGGGGGCTCGACCCCCCGAGCGCGATCCCCCGAGCGACTGGGCAATGGGAGACGAACGCGTGCAATTTATCAGGATTCTGGCGAGATGGAGGACGTGACCGATGATTGGACGTTGGGCGGGGTGGGTGGATTTTCGCGCCATCTTTGGCAGCGACGACGACGAAGGACCTGTTCGTTGCTCCGCCCAGCGCAGCCGCGGCAACGAGGATCCTGGAGACGACGACAGGACCAGACAAGCTACAGTGGAAGAAGATCACATCGATGAGAAACAGCACGGGAGTCCAGGGGTCTGAGGATGCGAGGGGCCCGACGTCGAGAACGCGGTGGCACCTTCGCCCGGGCATGTGAACAAAGAACGTGATCATCCGAACGCCCATGAGGTTCACGCGGGATCCAACTTGATGGGGCTTAGCACCAGCGTAGTGGAGTGGTTGACCAGCGCCGATTTGGCCGTCGTCCCGTAGGTCGACGAAAGTGAGAGTTCAGCGAAGTCTTTCGGCAAAGGCCAACGCACACTGTGCAGTCGCGTGCTTCTGGTGCTTACTCTCTTGCCCGAGTCGATGGCATGGCGGAGGACATTGGCGCCATGCCATAGTTGGCCATGGGCTGGACCACCTTGGATGACCACGGAAATCAGTGAAATATTCTCGGTAAGGTCATGCGAGCAAGACCGAACACACATGGCAATCGCAACGCCGCATCACTGGCGATCGCCATTCCAATTCGCGCAGACATCAACAGGTTCATGTCGCTGAAAGGGAAAAGGCTGGGGCCGGAATCTGGGGGGGATGCCGGGCCGCGGTGTTTCGCGCTTCAAACTTGCCGTTTGACTTTGTGGGGCTCAGAGAAACAATTGGTTTTGTTTTACCTGTGAACGCGCTGCGGGGGCCGCGAGCTGGGCGGCGTCGCGAACGCAGTGCTTCGCGCGCGAATGTGCGCCCGCGCACGAGGGCGATATGCGCCGTTCGGGCCTGGGGCAGACTGCGGAGGGAGAGGGCGCGCCCATTCAGAAGCCCATTCGGCCCACGGCGAACAGCCCCGGCATTGGAAGGGCCCCCAGCGTGACAGTTCAGCATCGACGTATCAGTTTATCTCGAATAGGCCGAGCGTGGCGATCAAGGATATACCCAGGCCAACTGTGTCAAGCTATATTCAAAGGCCTGGTCAACCAGACGGCGGCCGACGACCGTTCAGGGCGCCCTGTCGGAGCCTGTGACTCGGGGGCTAACGGGAGCGAGCCGGACGAAGGCACGGAACGATGCCAGGTACGAACCATAGTATAGTGCAAATGTGCATGCGTGAACTTGGACCAGCAGAGATGAGCGGCTTCTCGACTGACGACCCCAGGGAACTCAACGCCAAATTAGAGGTCATGTCTGTGCAGAATTACTCGGGGCAAGTACTTGAGGACGGGTAGGTCAGTGGGCTTGGCGAAGGAGCGGAGGCGCGCGCAATGTCGCCGCAAGTTTGTGCCGTGGTACACGGGATGTCCAACCGCACTGGTGGACTTGTGGAGTGTGCCGACGCAGGGGCTGGTCGAGAGTTCCAGGGGCCTGCTAGGCGTGTGGAAGTGTTGTTGGAGCGCGGCCAGCTACCAGGGGCGTCATGTGCGTGGTGCGCCGCGAGGATGGTCAAGAACGTGCTTGGGGCGATTGGGAAGTGACCTCGATCCATAAGTCACGTTGAAAGCTCGGTGGGTGCGTTGGGGGGGGAGATGGTTCACTTCAGGTAAAACGAGGTCTCCGAGAAAGTGAAGGGGAAGGACTGCGGGGCCGTTGACGATAAAACCCCCGTAGGTGCGAGGCGCATTGCAATCGGCGAGGGGCGACGAGGCCAATCCTGAGTGCCGATCCCTGCTCGCGGCCTGGCAGGTTACGCGCGCTTCCCAGGCGAATATGCTCGCAGCAACCTGTCCCCAGGTCTATTGGAAGTCCAGGCTGTTCTTCTCCGTGGCGGTTGCCGAGGGAATAGGGCAGGCCCGAAGGAAGCGTGAGATAGGGCCCAAGCTGGGATTCATAGATGATAAGTGGGCACATTTCTACGCTGAGGCCAACGCGCACATCCTCGTCAGTTTGCCAGAAGAAGATCGGATCGTGAACTGGGCATGCGTGGGCCAATGTGAAAGTCCACGCGCGGCACTCGGGATGCCGCCAGCATTTGGGAACTGGTTGCGTGGAGTTAGCGCGCGACATTGGCTATGAAAGCGGGAAAGTATAATCGTGTGCGCGTAAACATCTGACTCGGCGAATTTGGCTGACCGCCCAAGGGGGTGATTATGTTGCCTTGCTTCGCCGTGCTTGTTTCGAGTGCATCAGCGGAGAAATCAAACGTACTTTCAGAGGGCAGACTCGGGCCTTGCCCGAAAGACTCGAAGTCGGTCTGGTTGCTCAGCCGAGTTGTGGGCTGGAACCAGGATGGCATATGGTATCATGTTGATCACTGGCATGCTGAAATATCGGTTCGAGAGTTTGGCGCGTGGTAGTGCAGTGTGAGATGTAGTACCAGTAGTTGCACCAGGAACTTCCTCATGAGCTAATTGCGTGGACTGACACTGGCTATGACGGTTGCAAGACAACGCGTCAATCAGCGGGGGAACACAAGTTTTTTTTGTTTCACTAAGTGTTGGAGCCCCAGTGCAAATTTAGTGGCGATATCTTTTCCAGCAGCAGAGTATCGCGATTGCGCCGTGGCGCAGTGTCATTACATTGCAGAAGAACCATCGAATATTCTGATGTTGATCGTGGCATCCCCATAAAGATCGACGCCTTCGCAGCCATTGCTACTTCTAGCAGGCAAGGAGCATGGCAAGTCAAACACATCGAGGTTTGTCAGCTTCGATGCAGTAGAAGGTGCGACAAGGAGACATCAACAGGAGTAAAGTGCGGATTCAGGAGAAGCTTGAAGATGCGATGATTAATTGCGTGGGCAGTGGCAGCTTGTCCATGCGCCTGCGAGGTCCCAACCGACATATTGTCAGAGGGAGACATGGGCTGGCGCCCTTTTACGGGGCGTTCGCGCAACCCGCGTCGGGGTTAGCTACCTAAAATCGTGTGCCGCGTGTCACGGAGCCTTTTGCGCGGTTGCGCCCACATGATACCTGCCTTCTGTTTGCGCCAATCCCTGCTTCACTTTTTTACTTTCACTTTGCCCTGCCAGGGTGCAGTCCTAGCTGTGGCGCCCGCTGGCTTAGACCTCTTCCTTTGCCCAGTCGCCTTTGCTGCATGTATCTCGCCCGTCTCCGCAGGTTGTCAGCCGAGGGGGATGTTGGTGTATAGCGTTTCGACTAGGCGAGCACGTGCAAGGCTGCAGTGCTGCATAAATCAATTCGGTAGCACTGCCAGACAACAGTGCCAGACAACAGGGCTTTCACACAATGTCTCCCCTTTCATGCTTTGCTCGTGCGAGATCTATTTGCCTCCTGGGTGAAAAAGCCTGGTCGAATTTTCAGTGGGTGGGGAGGGAAGGGAGGTGGGGGGACAAGCTAGGTGCGCTTGCGTCATATCTGACATCCTACCCCTCCCTCCCATCCCTGACCATGGCGTCGATCCCCTCTCTACTCGCACAGTTGGATGTCGAGCAGGGCAATGATCCCGAAAGGGTACGCGATGCATTGTAGAGCACGGCGTGGCATGGCGTAGAAAAAACACCGCAAAGCGTAGTATGTCACAGCATGGCGTGGCGTGGCGTAGTGAAGAATTGCATCACAAAACTTTGCAACGCAAAGCATGGCATCGCACAGCGGCCCCGAACATAACTTTGCATATCATGGCGTTGAAGATTTAAGCGTAGCATGGCGTAGCACGACGTGGCACTTAAGCACTGCATATCACAGCTTCAGCTGAAGGCATGGCATCGCGCAGCGGAGCGCAACCGAACATTGCAGTGCATGCCGTGGCATGGCACGGGAAATGGCGCCAGCGCTGCAGCGGGAACGCGATTCGGAACGAGAGGAAACGCGGAAATGAGGCCAGCGCTGCAGCGGGAACACGATACGGAACGAGCGGAAGCACGGAAATGAGGCCAGCGCTGCAGCTGGAGCACGATTCGGAACGAGCGGGGCCCGAAAATGAGGCCGGCGCCTCAGCGAGAGCAGCATTTTGAAAACAACTGCAGGCGAAAACCGAATTCCGGGGAATCTTGTGTGTAAAGAAACAGTACGCGGGGGGTGGGCGAACACCCCCAACCCGTCATCAGGGGCAGGAGGAGAGTAGTATTCGTATTGAGTAATTGTGAAGGAAGGAGGGAGGGAAGGAACAGGGAGGGAGGGATGGAGGACGGATGGATGTAGGGAAGGAAGGAGGCCCACCCCCTGCGGCCCACGAGGCGTGCTCGGCTGGCCCGCCCGCGGCGGCGATGGCGTCGCTGGCGCGCCGACCCCGCCGCTGCGACGCCACCGCCGTCGATCGGCGTCGGTCGCCGTCGCCGATGTTCGTCGCGGTCGTTGCCCACCGTCGTCGTCGATCGTCGTCGCCGATCGTCGTGGTCGCTGGTCGTCGTCGTGGTCGTCGTCGGCTGTCGTCGCCGATCGTCTTCGTAGTCGGTCGTCGTCGCCAGTCGTCGTGCCGATTGCCGTGGTGGCCAGTCGTCGTCATGGTCGGTCGTCGTCGATCGTCGTCGCCGATCGTCGTGATGGCCGATCGTCGTCATGGTCGGTCGTCGTTGATCGTCGGACGGGTTTTTTTTTTTCCCTCGGCCATCAGCGTTTCACTCCCCCCCTCCCCCCTTCCCTCCCCCCCATCACGTCAGCGTTTCATGCACCCCCCCCCCTTCCCCCCCCCCCGCATGGCGTAACGCCCCCCTCCCCTTCTCAAAAGGCGTCCCCGGCACTGCCGCACTGCGCCTGGCACCAGTCTGCGTGATGCCGGACCCACACGGCGGGAGGAGGTACGTGACGCCCCCCCCCCCTCCCCTCCGTACCGCCCATTATGGCCGCCGGTATAACACACGCGCAGGAAAAGATGCCCGACACCATTCTCGCACAATGTTTTCCATTGATTCCTTGTTTCCTGGCATGTTCCTTGATTTCGGCCCTGGGGTTTGTTGTCGGTCCCTGGGACCACCAGGAACGGATCCAGGCGAAACATTAGCAGCCCCAGGCGACGGGGTCGGGAACTCTAGGGCCGCGTAGAGACAAACTCATCTGAGCGGATGTCTTGGCCCGCAGCCGTGTCGCCGCGGCCGATCGCCGTCGCTTGTCGTCGCCGATCGTCGTCGCGGTCGTCGTCGTGGTCATCACGGCCGGATTCATCTCGAAGTTCTAGGCAGGATGCATCCCGTTGAAGAGGCCCAGGGAGTACCAGTATCGGTGCCTGTCAAATGCCTCCACGTCGATCGTCGCCCCTGCCGATCAGCCGATTCGTCGCCGTCGCCGTCGTCGTCAGTCGTTGTTCGTCGTTGTGGTCGCTTTCGCCGTCGTCGTGGGTCCCCGGCGCCGCTGGCGTCGATTGTTGACTCCCTCGTAGTTGGTGGGTGCCTGCGACTTTGATCCCCGTCGTCGTCGTCGCCGTCGTCGGCTCATCTTCGATCCTCTCCTCCTCCGTACTCCAATCTGGCGGATTGCGATGAGGGAGGAGGGTGAGAAGTGAGTAGCAGCAGGAAGAGGAGGATAGGGAAGAGGAGGAGGAGGAGGATCAGGAGGAATAGTGCGAGGAGGGACGATGAAAATGAGGATGTGGGGGAGGATGATGAATGAGAGGGGACGAGAATAGAGAGAGGAGCGGAATGAGGAGGGGGAGCTTGAAGAAGGATGATCCAGATGGCTAAAACACTTTTGCTGTTAGTTACGATGTTGGTGGTGTTGATGATGATGAGGATGAGGATGAAGATGATAATGAGGATGATGATCATGAAATTGATGATGGTGATGCTGATGATAATTATGATGATGAATATTATGGTGATGCTGATTATGATGATGATTAGGATGCTGATTATGATGATTATGATGATGATAATGATGATGATGATGATTATGATGGTGATTGTGATGGAGATGGAGAGGGTGATGGTGATGGTGATGATGATTGTGATGCTGATGCTGCTGATGATGGTGGTGATGATGTTGATGCTGATGCTGATGATGATGCTGATACCGATGATGCTGATGATTATGATGATGGTGATGCTGCCGCTGATGCAGATGATTTTGATGGATCTGATGATGATGCTGATGATGCTGCGGATGATGATGATGTTGATGATGATGATGCCGACGATGACGATGATGATGATTATGATGATGACGATGATGATGAAGATGGTGATTATGGTTATGATGATGATGCTAATGATGATGCTGCTGATGATGATGATGATGATGGTGATGATGTTGATGATGTTAGTGATGATGCTGCTGCTGATGACGATGATGATGATGATGATGACGATGCTGATGATGATGATGATGATGATGATGATGATGATGATGATGATGATGAGGATGATGATGATTATGATGATCATGATGATGATGACATCATCATCATCATCATCATCATAATAATCATTCCCACCTCTATTCGGTGCTCCCGTCGTCCAAAGGCATCGATGATGTCTATAAGAACAACTATCGCACTGTGCCAGTCGAGTGGATGTGGCGCACCGGCTGGCGCGTTTCTATGCAGGGGTTCATGCTGCCCATCCTCCAGACCCGCCCTCAGGAGGACAACGACCAGGTGTCTACAATATAGGCATTCAGCGTTGCCACGTGTTCTGCAATCGGGACGTTCGATGCATTTGTCGGCAACGATCCCCGCTTTCACGAGAATGGCTATTATTCATCTTCTTATTTCCTCCACCATTATCCTGTTCCCCTCATCTTAATATCCCCTGGGGGGCATTGCGACGCCACTGTTGCGCAGTGGCGCAATCGAGTTGCAGGGTTTTTTTAACGAATGACGTCCGGTGCACTTCGCCACCGTGCTTGGGTCGTGGAGAATGGACCTCGAGGGTGCTTCTTGGGGCCGTTGTTGGGGGGACCCCTTGGGGACATCGTCGGAACCGTTATGTTTTTTTTTGGGGGGGAAGGCGACTGAAATCGTCAGGGGCCCGTTGAAGTGTATTGTGGCGTCTGTCTCTTTGGGGGCCTTTGGGGGCCTCTGGGGCTGTGTCAGGAGCTCGCTTCGATTCTGAGCAATGGGGCCGTCTTCGGCGTCGTGCGCATTCTTCAAGGCTTGGGTATCCGCGTCGGGGCGGGGTTTCGGGGGCTTCCTGGGCCGTGCTGGTCGCTCCTAAAGCTTCCGGTTCCCGTGTGTTGAAATTGCACGGACGCGTTGTCTGCTTAGTTTTTTTCTGTGTGTGCGTGTCTGTGTGTGTGGGTGTGTGGTGATGTGGGTGTGGGGTGGTTGAGTGGGGAAGTTATTTTGCTTCACGCTTTGCTTTTTACTTCCAACCCACCCAGGAACGATGCTTCGGGGCTGCCCTTATCTGAGGAAAGTGGGATACTACGGATATGTCGGGTGGCATCGGTGATGTGGAGGCCTCTTTGGATGCATGTCGAAATCGTTTGAGTTCATGGTGGTTTCTTTGGGCGTTTCGGGGGCCCCGACGTTGAAAAACTTTGGCTGTGAGCGCGACCCAGTTCCTGTACATCGAGGCAGGCAAAAGGGCCGTTAGGACGGAGGTTTGGTCCGGGTCAGAGGTGGTGACAGTCGCAATCGGATAGGGGGCCAAGCGTGAGAGCAGGCCGTGTTCATTTGGGGCCGCCATGGCGGTGTAGTAGAGACATGTCCACCGGCCGACGCGGTACATTTGTTTACCGCACCCAACCGCTGGCCCCCGGGGGCGAGGCCCACACCGCTGTGCCAAATTTGGCCCGTTTCTTCGTTGCTGTCGGCCATCTGACACGGGCTCAACCGTCCGGCGAAAAAACTGAGATCGAACAAATTGTGTTGTCTGTTGCCTCACCTTCATCCCGCAGTTTTCCGAGAGGACCCCAGATATTGACATGGCCTCGCGTCCCCAAGTCGGGATGCCGTCCTTAGATATGGGCGTTTCCAGGGCCGCTTTTTCCAGTGGGAGTAGTTGTCATATCCACCTGCCTTGTTCCCACGACCCAGTGGTGGAATTGAGAAAGCTTAGGACGCGCGGCTCGGTGTTTGACTTCACCAGCTTTCCTCACCAAAATCAAAACTGCAATGGGCGTTACAAAACAATTTTCAATCACACGCAGAGATCGGGTGAACGTTGACATGCCGGATGGTGGAACGGCGTGTTGCTCTACATCAGAGTTGGTCGCGGATGCGCCGCACAATATCGTAGTGTTACTGCGATTAATACAAATGGACACGTGGGACAATTTGCAGTCTGTGTTTACATCACAGTGTGTCGCCTGGGATGCGCGGCTTTAACTCTTAGTGTCCCTCTCCTAGGTCCCCCCTTCCGCCTGGACAATGGATTCCAGTTGCTGTTGTTGCGGCATTTCGCCGCAGCGAATCAGCGGCGCCCCACTGCTCCCGTGCAGTGCCCCCGCGGCACCTCGACTGCAGGCCGGTTGCTTGGATCTCTTCGAATGGTTCTGCGGCGAACCACGCCTGCGTGCCAGCGAGGTTAGTTCAGGACCCGCTCCAGATTAGATAGGGCGCTGAACTCGAACGGGTCTCTATCGCAGCCTCTTTGTCCACGGCCTCGTCTTCCTCTCTTCCTCATCGTTTCTCTTTTCTACTCCTCCTCATCGTTCATCCTCTTGTCCTGCCTTTGAAGGCTTGTTGGAATCTTCTCTTGGGGCCACTGGGGTTCATTGAGAGCTTCTTGGGGGTCATTCGTGTGCGGGGGCCTTTTGGGGTCTCCTGGTGGGGCATGAGTCCCTGCGGCAGTCTTCGGGCCGTCTTTGGGGCCTCTTGGGCTATCCTGGGGCTCTCTTGGGTCATTCTGGGACCCTTTGACGTGCGTCTCGGGCTGGCTTGGGGCCCTCTGGAAGACATCTGGGGCCGTCTGGCTGTGAGAAGACCGAGCTCGCGAGAGTGCGACAACCATTAGGTTTGGGTTTGGGTCTGGGCCTTTTTGGGTTTGAGAACACCGATTGGCATTATTGGGTTGGGGCCTTTTGAGGCCGTCCTAGGGTTCCTCTTGAAGCCCTCTTGGGCAATCCTGGTGTCGTTTTGAACCGTCTTGAGCCCTTCCTGTGCCACCCTGGGCCCGTCTTGGGCCTCTCGGGCATGTCTTGGAGGCCATCCTGGACCCTCTGTGCCCGTCATGGGCCTCCTGCCAGCCTGGTGTCGATCGGGCACCGGCTTTCGGGGTGGCTTCCACCGAGTTGGGTTTCGCGGGCTTCTGCCCGTTCAGTGCCCAGGCTGCGGGCGGATTTCAAATGGCGTACAATCGACCCGCACCGTAAGGACTGGCAACCTTCCCAAGGGTACCTTTGC